AATGAGGTTTTGGAAGACCTCAATATATTTGTCAGGGTGTTTGGAGAACTTTTCTAAATTACCTTTAATTTGTCTTATGTCCCGGGGTGAGAAGGGGATCTGGGGTAAAATATGACCAGATCCTTTGTCTTAGGGCAAGTTGAGACCAGCTCAGCCCTCGGTGGGATGTGGCCTCCACCGTTTCCTCTGGTGGATTTTGAGTTGTTATTGCCAGGAGCATGGGATTAAGTTTACAGTGCCTGCCTGTCTTTGGCTTGTCCTCTAGAGTAAAGAAAGTCTGGACATATGGGACTTCTAACTATTTTTCTTCCTTCCTATAGAAAAGGTCTAATTGTAGGATGGTGTTATACTTGAGGGGTTCCCTCTGAGGGCAACTCTCCCCATTCGCCAGTTGGTATTGAGGCCAAACCTGAGTGCAGAAAAAAACCAGGAGCTATTTTTTTTTTAAAGGTTTGTGGGTCAGAATTATTCCAATTTTTGAGGGGCTGTTTTTATGTGGTGTGAATGACAGGCTTCCCACCTGAGAGGAAAAAATGCACAAGGATGTTCCCTTTATCCATTGTGCTTCACAAAGGACGTCCTGTGTCCATTGTCACTATCCTTAGCAGTGGGGCGTCCCTCACCTGGCCCAGGCTGAAGGGAGTCCCCACCCTCACACTAGGAGTGAGGTTACCTTGCCCACGTCCGGTCGCAAATAAGGCTGCCGGGTGGACTAACCACACTTACCACCACAGTGAGGACCCGAGATCACGCAGAAGGTGTCTCCTGCCTCCCTAACCTGTGGGGGAAGCGTGCATAACCTGTGTCCTGCTCTCAGGGCCCTTGTCTGTGATTAAGAGTGCCTGAGGTACCCATTAATGTGTTTGAAGTACATGCTGAACTGGGTGGTTAAGAACATAATGAACTTAATTCCCAAGGGGTTTACTCTAGGATGTGGACTTAAGAGAGTTTACACAGTACCTGTAACCCTGGTTAGGCCAGTATGCAGGGATCTGAGGAGAGTACAAACAGTTCTGTTCCCACCCCTTGTATGCCCTTGTCATTAAAGGATTTATTCTCTGCCTGATTTCAGGGGCAAGGATGGAATCTATTTCAAGCCAAATTTAGTACTTTAAACCTTCTGCTCACTGGCTTAATTCTTTATTTTTACTGAACCTTAATTTCTGCTGTTTTACTTCCAAACCTTAAAAATGCCACCTCAGAGATTTTAACTCCTTTCAAGCAGGGCAACTAACTTGGTCGCTTCCTAGAAAAATGCCTGGGAGAGGGACATGCTAGTTGCTTTCGCAGGGAACAGTTCAGGTAAAAGGCACACCTTCTTCGTTCTTATCAATGGTGAGAAAACAGTTCAGTTACTCTGTGAACATTGGTGGAAGAGGTTTTTAAATTTCCCCTTTTTAAGACTAGGGTTCACCTGTATATTTTACTTGGGTATGCTAGGAAGGAGGTTCCACCTTTTCTCTCTCTATATTTTTGTAGTATCTCCAGTTAATAATTCCCTGAAGTTCTACAAGCCCTTATCCAATTCAAAGGTATGACCTGCCTAGAAGTCTGCAATTTGGAATAAGTCAGTGTCCTTTTTATGGGTTTCTCTAAAGACTTAAATGCACCAGAGTAAAGCAATGGCTGTCCAATATGACAAAATTCGAAAAGTGTCATGGTAATAGATTTGTTTAAAGTGCAGTTGATAAAAACATTTATTTTCCTATAAAATACTAGAGGCCCAATGCATGAAATTTGTGCAAGAGTAGGCCTTCCTTCCCCCGGCTACCAGCACCGGCTTCCCTCTGGCCCCGGGACCTGGGCTTTCCACACAGAGGGAGTTCCCACCCACCCGCCATAGCCCACAGGTGGGTGGGGATTCCCTATATGGGGCGATTGTAGAGCCCCCTGATTGACTGCCCCGCCAGCTGATGGCCAGGGCCTCCTTCTGCAGGGCAATTATGGGGCAATGGTCAGGCCCCCGACCAATTGCATCGCACCTGCCTTAACTGGCCTGGCACCAGTGGGTGTCATAGCGTGGTCGTCAGGAAGGTCATTTGGACTAATTAGCATATTATGCTTTTATGATTATAGACTAGAGGCCCGGTGCACAAAATTAATGCATGGGGGCAGGGGTTCTTCAGCTTGGCCTTCACCCTCTCCAATCTGGGACCCCCTCAGGGGATGTCAGTCTGCTGGTGTGGGATCAGGTCTAAACCGGCAGACGGACATCCCTCTCGCAATCTGGGACCGCTGGCTCCTAACCACTCACCTGCCTGCCTGCCTGATTGCCCCTAATCCCTCTGCCTGCCTGTCTGCCTTATTGCCCCTAACTGCCTCTGCCTGCTTGCAGGCCTGATTGCCCCTACTTTGCCCCCCTGCTGGCTTGATCACCCCTAAGCACCTCTGGCCCCAGCCTAAACTGCAGTCTGGCCTCCCTCAGCTGAAGGCAACCTGGCCAATCAGGGGAAGGCACCGCCCCATTACCCTGCTGCTGCTGCCACTGGCGGCCACCATGGCTGCCTGAGCCTCGGGCCAGCCCTTGCTGTGGTAGCCACCATCCACAGCTTGTCTGAGCCTCAGGCAGCCACTGTGGCTTTGTCTGGAAGTATGTCCGGATTGTCGCGCTAAAGATGTCCGCCCTAATTAGCATATTACCCTTTTATTAGCGTAGATGACTAATTCTGAGACAACAACCTTTTAGTAAATAATCCCTGAAAAATGACATAGAGAACAACAACCAGTTTGTATATAAAGAATAGCATGTGACACATGGCTTATTGCAGATGGTGTAGTAAACATTGAAAACAATTGATAAACTACAATAGATGAAACCCACAAATACCCAGAGTGTCAGTGACAGACTCAGAGCATCATCCCATTTGCCCTGCGTCCCTGACTGGAGACCTGTCATTTCTGAAAGTTTTCCGTTTGATCTTGGCTCTGAATCTGTGTATGTTCTTTTGTGAAGTAGACTGAAACCTCTATAACATTCAAAATATATGTATCTAAATAGAACAGTGTTATTAATTTTTTATTTGACAAAGCTTCCTCCTGTAATTTCAAGTATATTGAATCGGCCTAATTTAGTTAAAAAATAATTTCTTTTTGAGAGGAGAGAATAAATCCTTGAGGTACCCAAGGGCCCTTGAAAATCCATACTCGGAAGAATCGCCAAACATACACAATCTGAAGGTCATCAAACTTAAACTGGTTTTAATATTAAAAATTTGGTCCAGACCATAGAATTAATCCTTTTTAATATGGCCAATAAATTGCTATTTTCTAGTAATGCCATTGGAGGCTAAGATTTTACCGCATGTAGTAAACAGAAGCTCAGACATATACAAAGACTGCCACATACTTTGAACTGTTCATTTTTGCAGAAAAAATACTGGGAGGACACACCTACCTCCCACCCATTCCTTTGCCCAGTGCCCCCATGATGCCAAGCAGCCAAGCCTTGATTGCCCGCCCCATAGCCAGCCTCAGTTCCCCTTCAGCTGGTCTGCTTGGGTTTGGGATGTCACAGGCATGCCCTATGCCATGTGAATCTTGGGACCACCCATTCCCAACTAACAATGCTGTGCAGGGAAATTTTAATAGGAGCGATGCTGGGCGGAGCTTTGCAATGTTCCCCACCCTGTCCCCTTCCAGAGCGCTTGAGCGGGGTTGGCAATGCCCAGGCCTTCCCAGATTACTGGGGTTCAGGCGAGCAGCCACAAGAGGGGGAAGTCCTGGGAACACAAGCCTTATCTTAAAATTAAGTCTTCAAGTTCCTCTGTTGAATATCACCTAGTAACCTCATTCTGTCACCTTGAGACCAAAAACTGCTTCATAAAGTAAAACTACCTTTTTTTCTTTTTTTCCCCTTCCCCTTCCCTTTTTGCCTCGGGACAGGGGGAGATTCCTGGAGGAGACAGCTGTTATCAATCTTCACCTGGGAGAACACCTTTATTATGCTAACTAGAGGCTAAATGCATGGATTCATGCACTGGTGGGGTCCCTTGGCCTGGCGTGCAGGGATCAGGCCAAAACTGGCTCTCTGACATCTCCTGAGGGGTCCCAGATTGCGAGAGGGCACAGGCCAGGCTGAAGGACCCCATGGGTTCACTATTGGGGCCAGGGAGGGGCCGTGGGAGTGGAGCCCTAAGGGGTTTGGCTCAGGGGATAGAACATCGGCCTATGAACTGAAAGGTCCCAGGTTAGATTCCATTCAAGGGCATGTACCTTGGTTGCAGGTACAAACTCAGTAGGAGGTGTGCAGGAGGCAGTTGACCAATGTTTCTCTCTCATCGATGTTTCTAACTCTCTATCCCTTTCCCTTCCTCTCTGTAAAAAATCAATAAAATATCAATAATAATAAAAGTGTAATATGCTCATTAGCCCAGATGTCCTTCCGGATGACCTTCTGGACGAAGCCCAGGTCCCAGTGCCTGCCAGCAGCCAGAGGGATGCCCGGATCCCCGGTGCCAGAGGGAAGCTGGTGCTGGCATCCAGGGGAAGAAAGGCCTACTCCTTCATGAATTTCATGCATTGGGCCTCTAGTATTTTCTTTTTTAAAACAGGAGTGGAAGGCCATCACTTAGGAAGGACAATCCTGGACGTTTTAGAAAATGAATTTAAATACACTGTGATTTTATAAAGTTCTTTGAACCTCCATAGCCATAGCCAGTTTTACATGGGATGTTTGGAGTAAAAACCTGGAAAGGAACACCAGCCTTCTGAGATAGGTCTAAAAGATTCATGAGCCATCCTTCATGCCCAAGGAAGATGTTGCTACAGCTTTCAAATACATCTTCTTGTTGTTTTATAGTTTCCAATTTAAGTAAATATGATGACTGGTTACATGCAGCTCTCTTTATTATCACCACCAGTTTTGACTCTTGCTTTGTCTGGACTAATCAGATGTCTATGTCCTAATATCAATAACGTATTACCTTATTTATTTATTCAAAGTGAGCTATGTGTTGACTCCCTAGAGCACTACTCATTGGCCAAAATACACTTGTAGGGAGTATTTATTTCTCAGCAGCACATCATTCTCTGTAATCCATGCAGTTATATCAGAAGTGGATTTTGCTTCATCAGTTGACGTGTAACAGTGAGTAGTGAAAACGTAAACATAGAGCCTCTTTCAAGTCTTACCCTCTCTTCAGCATACAATGTATTTATTTCTTTCTCCTCAATTTTCTGTTTTTCTTCTTTTCTTTTGGACTCAGGGCAAGAATAAGGAAAACACATGACATTTTTTCTTTATACAAGTACTTTCTCCTATATTCACTAAGGAGATACAAACAATATATGACTCGCCAGTCCCGAGATCCTATGTAAAAATGCATCTCACACTCTACTCTTTGCTCCTTATTTCTGTAACAAAATAGCTTGTTCTCTCTTAAGACTGTGAAAGACATACTAAATATAATAAGTAGTTAAAAGGAGTTATGTTAGAATGTTTTTTGGGCTGCCTGACACTCCGAATCAAGAATTCCTGGAATTGGTGCTTTTTGGTGCGTGTGTCCATGTGATACAGTATAAATTCTTCCTCACCACACTCCAAAGGTTGAGTTATCCAAGGTTTTTCCTGGAAAATTTCATAATAGCAAAGTCATAACGATCTTTTAATTGGAGATCAAATAACATTTCACAAAGCCTTCTCTGGAGGTTGAGATAAACATTCATTGAAACAGTAATATAGTTCCCCCCCCACCCTTTTTTTAAGTGTGATCGGTAGAATTGTTAAAATGCAAATTTCCAGGACACACTTTCTAGAAATTCTAATCCTATCAGTCTGTTATAGGGCCTAGAATATGAACATTTACCAAAACCTAGGTTATTCTAATGCAAGTGATGTTTCTACTCTTACTGAGCAAAATTCTCACCTCTGACTTTCCTCTATAGGTCAGATGATTTAGGTTGTTTGTAAAAGAATTAAATGTTGTTTTTTGACATGCAATTTAGGCAAAGCCATATTTGCAACTTTGAGAAATTCATTTTCTAGGTGTGCACAGAAAATATTTAAAAGTGCACGACTAACATATGTGTTGGTTCTACACCTAGTGTTATTAGAACTTCTGGGATTTCCTCATCTATTTAACATTCAAGAATAGATTTCTCGCCCAGTTGGTGTGGCTCAGTGCTTGAGCGTCAACCTATGAACAAGGGATCATGGTTTGATTCCAGGTCAGGGCACATACCTGGGTAGCAGGCTCAATTCCCAGAAGAGGGCATGCAGAGGCAGACAATGGATGATTCTCTCTCATCATTGATGTTTATTTATGATTTCTGATAAAAATTCATTTGGAAAATGTAATAATAACTGTCCGGAGCCAGCTTAGCCAAGGGTTTGGAAGCCTGAGTGAGGGTGGTGAAAGGAAGAAGAAATGACAGACAAAGAGAATAATCAGGGTCTAGGTGGATCTTCCTGTGCCTGGCTGAGGCCACAGAGAGAGATCCAGAGGCAAGCTGAGCCTTTATTTTATAGCCAGAGGTAAACAAGGTAGTGGTCACCATAGTTACAATGTTCTACAAGGTAGTCACCACAGTTATAATATTCTGTGAGTTTCACTTGTTTGGGCAGCACTTGCCACATCTCCCTCAGCCCATTAGCTTCCTAGTAGAGATCTAGGGAATGTCATAAGGTCAAGCCTAATTATGCTAAGAGGACTGTGCCCTCTAAGCTGGGACTTGTTTGTGGCTTTGCCAACAGGTGAGTCTGAGGCTTAACCCTATAGCCACGCCCTACAAAAAACCATACAGTATCTTGCAACTATGTGAGGATGACATCTCCAAAGTAAAACCGGTTGGTGTTACACACAGAGCATATTCCACAATTTATTTGAAATGGCAGACAGTTCCCAAAGCCTCAGAAGGGGGGCAGGAAGGGAGGGTAAGAGATCAACTGAAGGACTTGTATGCATGCATATAAGCATAACAAATGGACATAAGACACTGGGGGGTAGGGGAGGCCAGGGGATTGTCAAGGGCAGGGAAAAAAAGGAGACATATGTAATACTCTTTGTAATACTTTAAGCAATAAAACAATTAAAAAAAGGAAAAGAAGCTTCAGGGACAACAGATTATTTCTGTTCCAGAAAAAAAAAAAAGTACGTTTATTGGAGAATTTCATATCTACACTAATAAAAGAGAAACATGGTAATTAGCTTACGACCGCTACCCTTCCCATTGGCTAATCAGCATATACTTATGCAAATTAACTGTCAGCCAAGATGGCGGCCGGCAGCCAGGCACTGAAGCGAGCAGGGAGGCTTGCTTGCTGCGGACTCCAACATTCCTCGCCTCACTTGCCAGCCTCTCAGTTGCAACTCTAAGCAACTATATACTATGTTGCAAATAAGAAGCTAAACAAAACCCCAGAAAAGGGCTTCCATTCAGCCAGGCTCGGACCGCAACATTGTATCTATGTTTTCAGCAGCGAGGCCTCAGAGCTAAAGCTGGCCCAGAATAAAAAAAAAAGAGAGAGAAGAAAACAAGGAGCGGTTGGAAGCTTTAGTCACTC